CAGGGCGCCAGCCGTGTCCGGTGGCGGCTGGTGCTGGCAGCAGGGCGCCAGCCGTGTCCGGTGGCAGCTGGTGCTGGCAGCGGGGCGTCAGCCGTGCACGGGTGCAGCGTGCCCGGGACAGCCGGACGTGATGCATCACCGAGCCAGAGTTGCGAGCCACGCTGTTACATGATCCATGCGTGATTGTTTGCGTTCCTTGGTGGTCTTCTGGCGTGAGCGCTGGTGCTTATGGGGCGTCACACTTGTTTTAAAGTTTGGTCTGTGCCGTGAAAAAAGACCGCTCGAAACGTGCGCGTCATAGCGAAGCAAATCTTTGCCAAACACATACACGGCGAAAGTACATCATGTTTATGCGTACATACGATCATCTGTAAGATCATCTGTGACAGTGGCTTGGTGGCTATGGCCATTCGGTACCGTACCGGTGTGGTACAGCAACAAGGTCGTCGGATTTCCATCGGATTTCCATGCATTTCTTGCTTTCGTGAGCTGGCCGGCGCATCGGCTGCCAGATCAGCAGGGCATTCGTCGTCTTGGTCCCGGAGCTGGCGACCGAACCGACCGGGGTCGCACGCGCCGTTCAGTTCGCGGCAACTATTTGTCGGATGACGCAGCGGGACACAATTTGAATCGAAATGCTCTGAAATGCAGTTCTGGCACTGTAAAGCTATCCGGTAATCACATCAGGAGTTCAAAGGGTGGACATGCTATCCGTCAGATGTGCTCATGTCCACGGACCTGGGCACTGCGGGTTTAGAGCCGATCCCCATAGTATGGGTTAACACGCGCCCGGATGGCCGGTTGGTACCTTTCGCTCTGGTGGGGGTCAGGTTTGGCCCCCCTGAGATCTCAGTAGCTAAGAGGACTAGAGGACACCAAGTTCATAGGGTGTGTTGATATGTACGTGAACTCGCTTAGGTCAAAGTTTGACGTTCCATGGTCGTGACCTTCGGGTCAAATAAGGTCAAACAAGGTCAAACTTCAAGCTGGTCTTCAAGGTGTCCCCAGACCCTATATACCTGGTCTAAGCAAAAGGTCACATGCTAATTTAAAGTCAGTGACCTTGTTTAACCTTTCGAAAGTCATGATGACCAAAAATAATAGAAGACTGCCTTGAGTTGTGCATTTGAATAAGCGACAAAGATTACGCTAGGCGGTATGTTCCTTGAAAACGGAATGTTGACTTTGGTTTATTTTAGGTCAGTGATCTATTCTGATTGTAAGAAGTCCGTGGGAGATGCCTTATGCGGTGCCTGCAATCAGTAAATCCGAAATGAGCTTCAGAAGCTACTACTCCATGTAGCAAGCTCCAGGGTAATGAATAGTTGGTTTTGACCTTCATATCTGACCACAGGTCAACTGAATTTGGTCATTCTATTGTTGCATTACCTAAGAGAGTATCTCTTAGAGTAAGAGAGTATGTGCGGGTGTGGATGCCGTGTGCTACTTAGATCAACGGCAAGCTCAAACCGCCGTCCAACACCGAGCGGCTGCCGTCGGATTGAGCTCTGAGCACGGTCCCGGCCGGGCCCGGCGAGAGAGCGCCGCTCAGCGGCGCCGGCCGGCCGGCCTCGGCGGCCGCGGCGCGCCGCACCGCGCCGCGCCACTGCCAGGCAGACTGTGCCGCAAGTACTTCGCGGAAAGCCGCCGGCCAACTGGTTGTGGCGGGGACCCGGCGGCCGGCGCGGCGCCTTTTCCTTCCCGGCCCGGCCGCTGCGTTGTCATTTTAGTTGAATTCGCCTCGGTGAGCGCAATCTTCGGCGTGGCCCGACGTCCCAGCGCAATCGGGTGAGACCTGCCGTCCGGCTGGTTGCCGTGGGGCTGAGAGCCTCGCTACGGCCGTCATCCGCGCGGCCTGCTCTGGCTGTCACTCCGCGACCTGCTCTGGGCCTACTCTGGCTGTCGCTCCGCGGCCCGTCTGCATCGGTCCACCTGTTCTAAGTGTGAGGGGCGGAGGCTGGAGTCAGGGGCGAATTTTGATCCGTTGTCCGGTGGGTGTTGCGCATTATTTTATGACTAACGGGCTTTCATTGTTGCTTTGGTGTGTTGTTACTTCCATCTCATGTCGTTTTAAGTGTATCGTACTGTCCGGTTTCATCACCAGCGCCTTCCATGATTCAATTCTTCGTGAACATTTCGGAATCCCGGACATAAATCTCCGCTGGCAATGTTCCAAACGCGCTGCTTTCTTATTCAATTCATCCGTGGCTCTCTGTGTAAATGATACCTAGTCATAGCACGGAACTGCTTTTGCGAGCCACAGGCATCTTTCCTGCCCTCCGCGGCTCATATTAGTGGATAGCATGCCGCCGTCCGGCCCGAACCGGTCCCCCGAACTCGATTTTTAGCCGCTCGGCCGCTAAAAATCACGCAGCAGCTGCCGTATATAACAGGCCTGCCTGTGCTTCATGGTACAGAACAGCCTATTTTGCTGGCGGCGGGCGCCATGGCCAATCTGCTCGTGCTGGCTGCCCTGGTGACGCTGGGCGGGAGCCGGCCCTGGCACTGCCCGCCCGGCCAGAACTGCCCCCGGCCCGTCCGCGCAGTCGCCTCAGCTGGGATCGCCTGCTGGCCCGGCTGCCCACCCGCCCAGCTCGCCGACAGCACCTGTTGCGTCCACCAGCGCCGGCCCAGGCCAGGGTCCGCCGCCGCCCGGCGCGGGCCCGCCGTCCGCCGCCACCCGGCGCGGGCCAGGGTCCGCCGCCGCCCGGCGCGAAGCCACCAGCCGCCGCCACCGGGCGCGGGCCAGGGTCCGCCACCACCCGGCCCGGGCCAGGGTCCGCCGCCGCCCGGCCCGGGCCAGGGCCCGCCATCACCCGGCCCGAGCCAGGGCCCGCCGCCACCCGGCGCGGCCCAGGGTCCGCCGCCGTCTGGCGTAGGTCACCGTCCGCCACCGCCCGGCCCGGGCCAGGGCCCGCCGCCACCCGGCGCGGCCCAGGGTCCGCCGCCGCCCGGCCCGGGCCAGCGTCCGCCGCTGCCCAGCCCGAGCATTTCTCCCCTGTCGGTACTGGGCGCACCGACAGCTAGCTCTGCGCGGCCGCCATCACCAGCCGGCCCCAGCGTCTCGCCTCCGCCAGCACCAGCGCCAGCGCCGCGGGTGCCGGCCGCCATCGGCGCCGTGAAGGCTCGGCCACGATTTGGCCCCAGGGTGCCGAAGCAGCTGCAGGATGCTGCAGCTGCCGGCGAGGGCAAGGCCGAGTTCCAGAGCGCCTACGACGCCTTCATCACGGCCTCCAACATCGGTGTGCCGCACCCGTCGCAGCCTATCCGCATCAGACCGACCACCGCCCCCATATTCTCTGCCCCCCGGCGCGCCCTCTGCCCCCATCGTCGCCCCCGTTCTCACTCCTCCCAACCCCTTGGCTCCTGGCTACCCTGGCGCCCCTAACCATGTGCTCCCTGGCTCCCCGCCACCTCCTCCTATCGTCCCTGGCCCTTCTCCCCATCCTATCGTCCCTGGGCCCCAGCCTTCTCCTCATCCTATCATCCCCAGCGCTTCTCCCCGCCCTGTCGCCCCCGGACCCCAGCCTTCTCCCCATCTTGTTCCTGGCCCCGCGCCATCTCCCCGTCCTATCGTCCCTGGCCCTTCTCTCCGTCCTATCGTCCCTAGCCCTTCTACTCATCCTATCATCCCTGGTCCCACGCCATCTCTCCATCCTATCATCCCTGGTCCCACGTCATCTCTCCATCCTGTCGTCCCCGGCCATCCGTCCTCCGCCAACCACATCTTGCCTTCGCCAGCCGGTGCCGGCGTCACCATGCCCGCCGGTTACGGCTCCGCTGTAGGTGTCACGACCGCCGGTGCCGCCGCACCAACCGTGCCTGCCGGCCCCACCGATGTCGTGCCGTCCGCCGCCCCTGCTGACCCGGCCACCGCTGTCGGTATCGCCGGCCCTGCCGGTCCTGCCGGTCCCGCCGGTCCCGCCGGTCCCGCCGGCCCCGCTGGTCCCGCCGGCCCCGTCGGTCCCGCCGGCCCCGCTGGTCCCGCCGGTCCCGCCTGGCCCGCCGGCCCCGCTGGCCCGGCTGGCCTGGCCGGCCTCGGCGGCCTGGCGCCGGCCTCCCCGAACGCCGTAGCGCTGGGCGGGCCGGCATCGCCTCAGCGGCGGCCGCCGCCGGTCAAGTTCGGCGGCTCCCGGCCGGGCGTCTCCGGCCTGCGCCGGCTCGACTTCAGCTCCGATCTGTCGACTTCGCACCTCCGCGCGGGTCGCCGGCGCCCACCGGGCCACCTCGGCTAGAGCGGCGTCTGGCGCCCCCCTCGTCGAGACGTCCCCTGCGAGGTCTGCGACTCCGGCCGGCGGCTGCCGTAGGCGCGGCCAGGCTTACTGTGATGTTTTGTTCCACGCTCCCGGTCGCGTTGACATGCCGTGGTGGTGAATATGTCGTCGACTGCTTGTTTCCGCCTGCATGCAGTGTAACCGCTCCTATAAATACAGATGGACGCCTGCCGAGTGTCAATGGCCAGCGGCCCTGCGGAGAATACAGGGACGCCAGGACGCTGGTCACTCATCAGACCAATCTGACGTGGTCGACTGTTGGGTGTACAGCAAGGGGCCGAATAGAAAGCCAAGTGGCCATATGCCTCGAAACAATGTCTGAATGCTTGCGATTTTCTGCAAGGAACATATGCGTCGCCGTGCGCCGTGCTCTGAGAAGTCGTGCTCCTCCTTTGTCGCTAAAATCAGTCGCAGTCGCTTCGTTTGGCTGTTAAATCGGACACATCTTATGACTCAAACGAGAAGCTTCGTGTGCATCTTGACGCCAGTAGCCAGAACCAGTGACCCTCGAGGATAGCACAGGTCATCGAAGCCCAGCATGAGTCATGCACCCTAGGGCATGCTTGTGAATACAATGCGTAAACAATGAGGCAATTAGCTGAGTCATCGGCGGGTAAAATGCCATTTTTTATTGGGAGGGGATGGCGCCCACTTCTTGGCACACGGCGGTGACACGTACGCGCTAACGCCCACGCCGTGGATGAGCAGTGTGACCTGACTCAGCTCACGGGAGACGGCCGGTCTGCCACCACGGGCTCAGCTCACGGGAGACGGCCGGTCTGTCACCACGGGCTCAGCTCACGGAAGACGGCCGGTCTGCCACCACGGGCTCAGCTCACGGGAGACGGCCGGTCTGTCACCACTGGCTCAGCTCACGGGACACGGCCGCTCTGCTACCACGGGCTCAGCTCACGGGAGACGGCCGCTCTGCCACCACGGGCTCAGCTCATGGGGCACGACCGGTCTGTCACCACTGGCTCAGTTCATGAGACACGGCCGGTCTGCCACCACGGGCTCAGTTCATGAGACACGGCCGGTCTGCCACCACTGGCTCAGCTCATGGGGCACGACCGGTCTGCCACCACGGGCTCAGCTCACGGGAGACGGCCGGTCTGCCACCACTGGCTCAGCTCACGGGACAAGGCCGGTCTGCCACCACCGGCCAAGTATGGACGTGGCAGCTGCTGTGTCGAAAAGCTCGTTGCGCGTTAAAACAGCACGACTTTTACTTTCACACCCATCCTTGCTCACACCCTCACGCAGACTGATATGGGGCCAGCGTCAGGTCACGCAGCGCTCAGCCAACATCGGAGCCAGGTGCCGACCCAGGTCACGCTGGCCACGCTCTGGGCGCGGCGGCCTCAGGCGGCGGGACGGGACCCGAGCAGGGCGGGCCGCGCGGCCGGCGGCCGGTGTTGCCATCTGCTGTGGGAGGGCTCGGGCGTCCCAGCGTCCCGGTACCTGCGGCGAGGCGCGCTCGCATGATGTCGGGCGTTTGGGGATCTTGGCAGATGTGTTGTACTAAGCGCTTGACGCTCTTCTGCTTAGGTGATCGGGCATTTGGGTGTTTTGGCTCCGGTACTGTCGGCAACTTGGCCGCGTTTCACGTGCGTGGAAAATATGCTTTGCACCAAAATTCACGCTAACATGATGGAACATTGGCAGGCAACGTTATGGGGTCTTGTTTGAGTGCGGCGATCATAACTTATTATTTGAAATATTATGAGAACGTCACATGCTATCTAACCATTCCGATTAGTGGTTATCGGGTATTCAAACAAACGCATGTCTTGCTAGTGCTGCAATACACAATCAACGGAAGCGTACGTTGTTTGGATGGATTGCACGAATGCTTAGTCTAAGTGTATTGTATTTGAAATGCCTATTTTGCACCATCGACGCCTAGTCAAGAGCTTGAATGACGTATTTTACGATGACAGCAGCGTCCTTTCCTTGTGAGGTAACCGCACTTAGGAAGCACCCACGGAGGGGTGACTTTCAAATTCCGTTGGCGTCAATCGCCCACTGATTGCTGTATTTCCTTTCGGCTGACGTCACTTGACGGATTTGTACAACACAGACGGTGCCCCGGAAGCGCATACAAATATATCGTGATTGAGAGCAGACGACAGCAGTTGTTTTTCTACGTTTCCTAAGTCAGATGTCGCCGCTTTTCTCGACCGCGAGCCGTGCCGATGTGAACTTATGCGCAATCGGGCGCGGATGCCGAGTGCAGGTCTTGCTGCCTTGATCGGCGCCGCGCTGGTGTAGCGTGCCGGTGTGAGCGAGGCCTGGCACTGGTTTTTACTGCCTCGAACATTTACCTGTGCCGGATTCGCCCACCAAAAAATGTGTGAGATTGCTCCAAAGGAAAAAATAAGCGGGCAGCGAGGCCGTCGGCGGGCACGCCAGGACGGACGCGCCGGTGGCGTGGCCGCCATCGCCAGCCGGCCTGGCAAAAATGGCCGGACAAAGGCGAGCCCGGCCGGCGACACGCGACCTGTCAGCCGGAGCTGCCGGCGGCTCCGGCACAGCACGCTGCCCACGGCCTGCGGCTCCGGCTGCAGGAGGACCTCCGGACCCCCCAGCCGGAGCTGCCGGCCGCTCCGGCACCGCACGCTGCCACGGCTTGCGACTCCGGCTGCAGGAGGACCTCTGGACCCCCCAGCCGGAGCTGCCGGCGGCTGCGGCTGCCGGTGTGTACTGCGTGCAATGCCTCGCCCGCCCTGCTGCTGAAGGACCTCCGAGGCAGCGGAGATCGTAGCTTATGTGTCGCGTGCGTCGCTGTCCGGCGACGGCCCCCGCCTCCGCTGGACGGCCATGTTTGAGGTCAAATTATGTCACTTTTGGCGTGCTGCTTTTGAAAAGATTATCTCTGAGCTCGTTAAGTGTGTAGCTAACTGGCGAGTTCCACCTCGCGTGTTCTTAGACGACAGATGTCACCCGAGCCGACGGACGCGATGGCGTTGCCAAGCGACAACCGCGGCTCGCGCCCGAGCCTCAAAAGACACTGCCAAGGACTGCGGCGCTACAGCTGAATCTGACCTGCCTCCCTTACCGGTGCAGCCGAGCCTGACCTGCCTCCTTTACCGGTGCTGCCGAGCCTGACCTGCCTCTCTTACCGGTGCAGCCGAGCCTGACCTGCCTCCTTTACTGGTGCAGCAGCCCCGGTTCACGTCCACGTTGGCCCGCTCTCCAGGCTTGTCCGATGTCCACCAACGGCCTGCCTCGTTTTACCGCCCAATATTTTCTTTGAGTGTGTCGATCAGCGGCCTGGTTCGCCCTTGGTTCCCTGGTGGCCGGACCATCCAGCGGGGGGAGGGGGGGGGGGTAACGGTCTCCCGTTGAGCAGGGCGGTGCCAGTCGGACTTTTCTGCTAGGTGGGCGGCACCAGTCGGACTCAGCGGCTCGGTGGGCGGCGCCAGTCGGACTCAGCGGCTCGTTGGGCGGCACCAGTCAGACTCAGCGGGTCGGTTGGCGGCACCAGTCGGACTCAACGGCTCGGTGGGCGGCACCAGTCAGACTCAGCGGGTCGGTGGGCGGCACCAGTTGGACTCAGCGGCTCGGTGGGCGGCACCAGTCAGACTCTTTGGTTAGGTGGGCGGCACCAGTCGGGCTCTTCGGTTAGGTGGGCGGCACCAGTCGGGCTCTTCGGTTAGGTGGACGGCACCAGTCGGGCTCAGCGGCCCGGTGGACGGCACCAGTCGGACTCAGCGGCTCGGTGGGCGACACCAGTCGGACTCAGCGGCTTGGTGGGCGGCCCGGCTCGATGGGCGGTCCGTGCCGCGTCGGTTTGACTGGACCTGGCGCCGCTGGCCTCCGGTACGAAAGCGGGGAGGTGGTGCTACCGTGTGCGTCCAGAGCACGCCGGCTCGGACGGCGCCAGAGACGACAGGGGGAGGTGGTGCTACCGTGTGCGTCCAGAGCATTCGGGCTCGGACGCCACCAGAGACGGCAAGGGGAGGTGG